TAAGAACAATATTATGTTTCAACATCATTAATAGCTTGTTTGCTTTCTGAAGTCCTTCTTGGTCCGAAATGTCCAAATCAACTACTAAATATAAAAACCATGAGATTCAGTTAAATATTTCCATCTTGAATTCTCCTATACTGTATTATTTTTTCTTCTCTTTTCTGTATGTCAGACTCATTTGGAGTGTTTTGATTTTTGGAAGAGTGTTGTGGCATCTCTCTGTCATTTTCACTTATATTACATTAATGACCATATCACCTTTTCATTTTCCCAAGTTCTTTCTTGTATCGATTAGTGTTTGGTTCTTTCTTAGTTTCACCATTTTATATTAGAAGTGATAGAAAGTGACTCCCCAGTCCCTTCTCCTTGCCTCTTTAAAAATAGATAGGCCATAGTTGCTTCTCCAGAGAATTTTATCAGACATAAGTTTAGAAATAAGGATAGTGTGTCCTCTGCTTGCATTTTGGTCTCTTAGAGTAAGGTCACCTGGCTGACAGCTCTCGTCTCCTAGGAAAGCTTTTCCTCTCCCAGGATTTTAAAAATCACAGAAATAGGTTTCAATTGATGTTTAGTTTGTTGCTCCCTTTGAAATCTTTCTAGTTGATTTAAGTGACTTTACAGATTGAGGTCTAAGAGGATGTTCTTGCAGGAAATACCAGATATAGTCCAGATTCTGGATTACTATAATCCTGTTTCTAAAAATGTTTATCTCATTAACAGAAATTTATGTTGATATTTAGGTGATGGGTGGATAGTCTCAATAGGGTATCCCCTCTGGCTTAATCAACACATGACCTAAATTCCACAAAATGAGTTTAGTAATTAAGATAAACTGAATTTTAAGCATGTCAAGACTCCATTTTTTCTTTCTTCTCTCTCATCTTTGTTTTGTTCGAACTAAAAATAAATATGAAAACATTAGCAGAAGTTTGGGGGAAGTTACTGCCACTTGTAACTTTCCAAAACTTTTCATGTATTCCTTTTTGTATGCATATACATGTAAATGCAGTGGTTAAACTAACATTTTATGTGATTAAAATTATATAGAGAAAATTTGTAAAACTTAACATTAGAAAAAATAAATCTTGGCACTTAAGAAAAAATACACTGTGGGAAAAGGAAGGACAAGCTGAATACCAGGAATTTGAACCATCTAGCTGGTTTGTCTAATTTCAAAAATAAGGCTCAAATTATTTTAAAATGATCTATGATAGCTAAATCTTTTTAATTTTTTTTTTGCATACAAGAGCTGGGGTATAGGTCAGAGGTAGGGGGTGTGAGAGGATTCATCAGAGACAGAGTAGGGAGCAGAACAGGCAGATCTACTAAAATACACTGCTGAGGTGGGGCAGTGGGTGAGACAGGAGAGAACGGCTGTGCCATGTGGGTTAGCTCTGTGGTCAGAAATCAAACTAGTGTTGCATTGGCAGCCCATAGCTTCATAGTGCTGAGACTTGACCCATTGCACCAACTGGGAGGTCCTATGATAGCTAAATCTTACCTCATTATTTGTCCTTGGGGTTTTCAATCTTAGGGATAGAACTTGTTAAAAAAATCAAATATGCCTTTGCCTTGCTTATTGTATAGTAAAATAAGAATGGGATTTAGATGGGAGAGGATCATGCTTGAGTTTCTTTTCCATCACTTAATACATGATCAGGAAAGCACTCTTCACCTTTTTGAATCTCAATAGGGGTAAAATGTGTTAAATTGCAACATTACTTTGAGGATTAAATTAAAAAAATTCTGAGGTTGTATTCACATACCATGCAGATATTTGTAATTACATAAAATTACAGATAACATGTAGAGCTAATTGTGTCTTTTCTTTATGACTGTATTTATCATTAGTGTGATGAATATCCTTTTCTGAATTTTAGTGGTTTGGATAGGTGGTATATGAATTCCAGAATCTTATCAGGAAGCTGGGCTTTTCCAAGAGTGCTTATTCAAAAATCACTCACTGATGAGTGACAGAGCAGTGCAGTCGTATTTGAATTTCTGTTTAACATATCACACCACAGCTACTTATTAGCATTCTGACTCTTTTGAGCATGTAAACATTCTTTTGCATGAGAAATCACATTATCACCATAACATTACATTTTGTTTCTGATTATAAAAATAACACTTGATAAATAAGAAAGCATATAGAAAAATTTAAAACCAGGTTATTATTGATATATTTTATATATAAATTTTTGTAAAAAACACATTTATTGGATTGATTCCTAATCCCTTTTCTTATCATATTAGCTATTTTCACTTAATATGACATGGGTTTTTACTCATGTCCATCTTTGTTCCCTTTCTACTCCAATTGTATAATATTACTTCAGCTAAAATTACTTCTTGCACAAAAACAAAAATAATCTTAACTGTATTTCTTTTTACAAGTGGAAATGTTAACCTATAGAAGAAATGGGCATTAGCAGATGCAGTTACTAAGATCCTCCTAGGTTTAGCTTGGAGAGGATAATGATCCATGTTGTGTCCTAAAGAGTCAGGGTAGTGTAGTATGGAGATCACATGCTTTTTTTTTTTTTTTTTTAATAGAGGCATGTTTTTATTTATTTATTTATTTGTTTGTTTGTTTGTTTTGTTTATACATGCACTGGGTACAGTCAGAAGTGTGGGAGGGTGAGAGAATTCACCAGAGCCAGAGCAGGGAGCAGAGCAGGCAGAAGGACCGAAGTACACTGCTGAGGGGAGCAGCGGGCGGCAGGAGAGGTCTGCGCGCTATGTGGGACCCTCCTCCGGTGGCCAGGGAGCAACTGGGGATCGAACTGGGGCTGCAGAGGCCGCAGGGAGCTTCACAACCCAGCGCTCAACCGCTGCGCCACCAGGGAGGCCCGAGATCACATGCTTTTAATTCAGGCCCACTTAAGTGAACCCTTGTCCTGTCACTCACTCACTGCATGATTTTGGACAATCACTTAACCTCTCTGGCTTTGGTTTCCTCATCTCTAAAATAGGATGAAGCATGTCTGCCTTTCAGGGGTTGCTTTAGGATTGGAGACAACAGTTATAAAGTGTTTGATCCACTATCTAGTTATGCTAGACAAAGGACAAATAACAGAATTTGCCAAAGGTCTAAGTCTTATAAAATTTAAGTGTACATTATGGGTAGCATGTAAAAACTTTAATAACCTAAGATAACTCTGCTCTAGAAGTATTTATTTGTACAATTTACTCTTTCCCCCTCCTCTTGTAAATATTACTGCCAAAAGATGAGTAGAAACTCATATTTTTTTAAAAAGTGACACATTCAGAGATGTTCTCTACTCTGGCAGGACCCTGAATTGTGAGCTCCAGTTTTCCCCATGCAGTGTTCACTTCATCTTGGGACATCCTTCCGTAAGGTCTGCAGCATGACAAGCCTGGCTTAGGTTTTAGGAATTCAGATAAGTCCCCAAGGGACACTCACAATCCAGGGAAGTATCAAGTAACCTTTTCTGCAGGAGATCCAATTCAGAAAAAGCAAAAACCTTTTTAGGTTAAAAAAAAAAAAAAAGTCAGAATGAATATAACCTTCTTGAGCCCTAGTGGGTGGTAGGGTGGAGGATATCAATTCTGAAAATTTAAACATACAAACATAAGTGAAAACATTAGTATTTCTTGTAGCCAGTAAAACACTAATACCTAGGTGTGTCTGAGGAAAAACAGCACAGGGCAGCTTTCTAATCTGTATTTCCACATTAGGCTAGAAAATTAAAGGACCTGCAAGCCTTGGATGCATGTTTCTGATCTAAGATGAATCAGATACTGATATAGCCCAAATAAGGATACAAGTAAGATAATGGGGAGGGAGTGATATGATAGATGTGAGTTTGGTATGAGATAAGCAGTTAATCTTAGGAGAGAAACAGGAAGATTCCTCCAAGGAAAGGATAAACTAAGTGGGTGATGCAGGGAGAACAGAAGTTCACCAAGAAAGGAATCTTATGATTTGTAAGGATTTTCGAATAGGTGTCACAGGACGTAACAGCGATGCTTCACGGGCTGCTCTGGTTGCTGAAGGCAGCCCCTGACCAACCTTTCCCTTCAACAGAGAAGCTCTGCTTTTTTTTTTTATGTTATAAATGGTGGCATTTACAAGATTTTTTGATGAAAGGATTCTTATCTATCTTTAAGAAGTTTGAAAATCACTGAATAAGATGAAGCATGCCTGCCATTTAGGGCATATCTAACTCAGGAACCATTTCCACATCTGTAGACTAGAAATCAAAAAAAGAATAAACTCATACCATTTGCAGCAACATGGATGGAACTTGAAGGGATTATGCTCAGTGTAATAAGTCAGAAGGAAAAAGAAAAATATCGGATGGTTTCACTTATAGGAGGAATATAGGAAGAAAAAATGATGATAGCAACAAAAAAACCACAACACAACAAAACAAAAATAAACAGACAACTATAAATCAGACACATCCTAGTGGGAAGGAGGAGGGAGAGGGATCAAAACAAGGGCAGGAAGAGCACAAGGCACTATGGTGATGGTGCACGGGTGAATGGGCAGGGGAAATTCCATGGGGACTACTCCTGAGAAAAGAAAGCAAACATTGTTAGAATAAAAAATAAATTAATTACTTTAAAAAAAAGAATAGGGACAGGGGATAACAGTAATTGCATCTCGTAGCTCTCTGAGGGTTGAACAAACTGTGACACGTAGAACGGGACTTAGAACATAAGGATCGGTGGATGTGTTAGCTCTTATCATTCCTCGCACTATTTCCCTCACAAATAAGGCTGCATCTCATATGACTTTTAAACTGTGTGTAGGAAAGAGCTGGAAAAAATGGTATTGTCCATTGCTTTATACTCAAAACACTTAATAATGTCTTAGACATTAACTCTAGTTTTTAATATATTTCACTTCTATTTTTTATACATTGCATTTCCCTCCCACAACTGGAAGTTTTCTTTTTTACATCAGATTTCTTAAATAATTTTGATCAGATATATTTTTGATAGTGAACATAATCAATGTGTTTCAGGCTTGCCAGCTCATGGGAAGGTGACATCAGTGTCCACTCTCTAACCCTGCCCTCTGCCACCTGCCTGGAGCTGCTGCTGATCTTATCAAAAAGTAACGCCACTCTACCTCCATCCCTTCGCTATATGAATTCCTTTCAGGTAAGGAACAGCTCCTTTACCAGAGTGTGATTCTGTGGTTTGCTTCTAGCTGTGTTTTAAGGATTCTGACTTTCTCAGGAGATAGCCCATGGAAACAGAGCTTCGATGATGATGATAATAGTGTAGTCACATGTGTTGTCTTCTCTGATCTTTTTAAAGAAATTAACAAATAGAGGTTCAAAACTGATTAGGCAGGTGCGTAATTGTGGGAGAACCCCTCTCTCTCTAACTCTAGGGTTTGTTCTCTTAACCTCCATCTTTTCCTGCCCCTGAGAGAAATGGCAAGGAAATCTGGCAAAGACACTTGGGAATGCCTCTTTCCCTTTCCCAGATTTACTCTAGAGCAAGGCTTTTCAACTATTTTTAGCAACAGTTTTGCTAATGTTAGTTTGCACTCAAATAGCCAAATGGATGTTTAACAGCGATGGTATCCTACCTACTCTTGGCATCTTTCCCTTTCCTCTTTAGTCCCTCTCTTATCACTTTCCCACTGCTCTGGATATTTATCTGTGCTCCTGAGAAAGGATATGGTAAGAGCAAATGTGGAATGACCATTTGAACAGCAAATGTGGGATGACCAACAGAAAGATCCTCTACCTGGTAGGCAGCCCATCGGTCACTGAGATGGCAAATGATAATTAAGCTCTGACCTTATAGCCTCTGATTGTAATTAAACATATCTGTGTGATTCTTAGCAATAGGAAGACATTCAAGAGCCCCCTGAGGAAGGTGACAGGGCCACATATATTTGCTAAGAAATGATTAAATGCAGTCGGTTCTACTTCTGGAGTTTTGTGATAGATGTTACGATAACTTCTGGGTCAGTGTCTATTGCTTGGTGTACCTCTGTTACATGAAAACAAGATGTGGATTTTCCTGTGATTACAGCTCAGGGAACTAGTAAGAAAATAACTGCTTCAATCTAATTTGCATCCATGTTCTCCTGGTCATCTCTCACATTGATTGTCTGATTTTCTTCCTAATAGAAATTCCAGATTTTGGCCTTGTTCTGTCTGATTGTATTTTTCATTACTCTATTAGCAACTTCAGGCCTGGACTCTAAAGAGATGTTAGAGGACACTGTCTCCTTTCTGTGGGAGACAAAATAGAGATCTGGAGAAGCAGAGAGATTTGGCCAGGGAACATCTAGCATGTTAGAAACAGCAGATCTCATCAGGCTTTTGCCTGGGTAGCTCCATCTGCACCCAAATGCATCCCACTCTAAAGTCCTGGAAGGTAGAGGGGATGTGATTGTAGGTGGAGGTAGCAATATCTCTCTTGGAACATCCACATATCTATTATTTTACAGTAATTTATAGTTATTTATTTGTATATTGCCCTAAACCAGAAATGATTTAAATTCTCTATATCAATCCATATGTCTTAAGTTTTGCTAATTGGATTGAACATTGAATAACACAAACGTTTTTATAAATCATAAACTTTTAATGGGGGGAGATACAAGAAATTTTATAATAGTTATCTCTGCAGAGCAAGGCTAGAAAAGTTATTTTTTATTTCACTTCCTCCAGTGCTGTTGGAAGTTTTTATATAATGGGCAAGTGGGGAGCATGGGCGATGACTCGACTTTGAGGATTTTCCAGCATGTTGAGGGAGATAGAAAAATCATCCATGTAGTATAAATTGAAAATTTTATCACAAAGTAGCCTCATCTCAAGTCTTAAAGATATTAAAGGTAAAAATAATCTAAACTGAATGTGGTAGATTTGAAAGAAGACCAATGAGTATTTCTTCTCTATGAGACAGAGGAGTTTGTTTTCTTTAAGGAGCTCAACTCAGGCTCATGTAAACACATGGATGTAAGCGCCTGGCTGGCACTTGGCATTCATGTTTTCTTAGCACTTAATCTGGAGCTCTTAGAGGATGCTAATCTTCAAACATTTCCTTCTCTATCAGTAATTGTACTTCATCTGGCTCAGTCCATTTGCTGAATCTTATTGTCAAAGGCACACACATATCCCCAGTTCCAAAAGAACAGAGAAAGTTGGCACAAGTTTGTGAATAATGTCTGCTAGAGAGATTTTGTCCCTGCTGTTACCCCTGGGAAGATGCATTCTTATCAGGAACGTGCCAGGAATCGACTTCCTGATTCAGGGCTTCACTCCTAGATAAGGATCAGTGAAGGAGAGAGTGTCTCAGAATTAGAAAGAGATACTCTGCTTTTTCATCTTGATAACCCCTACTTAATCATGTAGTACAATGGCAAGGAATGGGGCTGCTAATTTTGCCCATAGTGGGGATTAATTTTTTTCAATTGAAAACTCACTTTAATGCTTAAAAAAAAAAAAGAGCTGCATTGGCAAGAATTTTAAAATAGTAGAATGACACTTGTTAAAGATACCATCTTTTCCATTTCCAATTCTCTTGCTTTCCAGGTGGAGTCAGTTGCTGGGAGCAATGCTACTTTTTTTCTGTTAAAATGTTATTTTAGGTTCCTGAGGATAATGGCTCTCCTGTTTGAGCTATTCTCACTGCTAACTGCCAAAAGGAAGGTTTTATCTTATTAATTAGCACTATTAACATATATGAAATTCTAACTTCTTAAATTATAGTATGACATTTCTCTCAGACCTATAGAGATATCTTTTGGTGATTTTGTTAAAATTTTAACTTCCATTCTGTTATAGTATGTTAATATCCCTAGTGTGATTCTGAACAAACAGAATGTGGGATTTGGTTGGAAGTCTCTGATGGATTGCTAAGCACATACTGTAGCGGTTATCGAAGCTCAAGAAGAATGGACTTAGCATGTCATTCCTGCTTAAAATTCTTGCATGACTTCAGCAGTAATGAAAATAAAACCCAATAACCTTTTCATGGCCAACAAGGCCTGACAACATTGAGACCTTCCTCCCTTTCTGGCATCATCTCTTCTTTCCTTCTCACTCTGCTCAAGCCACACTGACCTCTATTTCTTGTTCCTTATCACAGTAAGCTGGTTCTGGCTGTGGGTCTCTGCACTGTCTCTTCTCCCTGCCAGCAGGAGAACACTCTGGACCAGACCTCTGTGTGTCTGGCCCTTTCACCTTTGAGATTTCAGCCACGGTGTCCCCCGGTATCAGGCCTAACCTGACCCCTTCACTGAGCTTCCCTCTTCTCATCACTGTTATTTTATAACCTCATCTTGTTTTATTTTATTTCATTTATTTTGCATTTGCCATTGCATTTACTATGATTTGTTCTCGTTTTTAAAATTTATTTATTGTTAACTAAGGTAACATTGAGGTATCCCCATCAGGAGTTAACACCACGGTGCATTTACCACCAACTCATCCATAACCACCACCACAGACCATTAGGCTTCCCTACCTCCCTGTTCCTCCCCCTCGCTGCCCTCCTGCCCCCTTGGTGTTTCAGTTCTGTAGTCAGCAATCAAGCTTTATTTTTTCAGATAGCTGAAACTATCTGTCCATTAATTTAGTTACTTTATATTCCACATATTAGTGATTCCATCAGTTATTTATCTTTCTCCTTCTGACTTATTTCAGTTGGCATTCTCCTTTCAAGCTCCATCCATGTTGTTACAAATGACATGGGTTCTTCTTTTTTGATTGCTAGTAGTATACCACTGTGTATATATACCCCATCTTCTTGATCCACTCATCTGTTCTGGGGCACTTAGATTATTTCCATAGTTTAGCTTATAGTAAATAGTGCTGCAATAAACATGGGACCTTGTTCTATTTTTTATAGCACTTCTCATTATTTATGTATTTGTCTTTTTACCCTCTACTGACAGGTTAAATAGGGATATCTGTTTTTGTTCATTATTGCACCAGTTTAACTTAGAATATTGGTTGGATATAGGAATTTTTTTTTAAAGATTTATTTATTTATACAAGCACTGGGGTACAGGCCAGAGGTGCCGGAGGGTGAGAGAATTCACCTGTACTTAACACAGTCACGATGACTGAAGTAAACTGAATTGGCATGAAGAAGTTTGTATTTTCTCTTTTACTGTTTGTTTCTTCTACCATGATTTCTCCCCTTTACGCTGAGATGTTCTGAGAATCCATATGTTAATTACCTCTCTGTAAGTCATGTTTCCATATTTGGTGTAAACACCTACTAACCTAGTGTCTCCCAGTCTCTGGGTTCCACCTTCTCCAAGGAACATGTGACCTCTGTAATGTGTTCTCCTCACAGCAAGCCCGGTGTGGTAAGACAATGGCTCACCCTGCTGTAGGACACTCAAGGGCTAATCTTAGATCTGCCACCCATTGAACTCAGGATCCTGGTCTACTTCGGGAACCTCTACTGGTCCTAGTTTCTTTATCTGGGAATGAGGGGAGTGGGTTAAGTTGTAAAGTTCCTTTTAAAGTAGGTGCAGGCAAGTATTGTGTCTGATCTCAGCTGTTCCTAATTATTCACCCAGGCTGGGTAATACAACTTCTCCATAAAAGGACTAGGTTATTTCTTTTGAGCATCTTGAAAGTGTTTAACTGAAGAAAAACATAGATAAAGACGTACTACATAGATTTTTTTTTTTTTCTCAGCAAGAGAGTGGAATCAATGTCTCAAGCCTTTCCTAACAGCACAAAGATGGGTCAGGAATGATGGGGTTAGAGAGCTGTCTGGTCCTTGGCTCCTCTGCCTGCCAGACTCTGATCATTCCCTCATGTGGATGCTGGCATAGGGAAAACACTGTCAGGTAGGCTGTACGTTCAAGAAAAGGAAGCAGAAGAAACTGAATGTTCTCTGGACAGCCCTAGATTTCTCTGCTTCCCTCTTCCCTGTCCCTCTCTACTCTCTACCCTCCCTCTAGTGTCTTCCAGTTTTGGTTTCAGCCATTTGTTTTTGACTCTGGATCCTACTCCATGTGTAAACATTTGTGGCTCAGGAATTTTCCAGTGGGTTTGCATTTCCTTTATCTTATTTGTGAGACACAAAGAAAGTTTTTTAAAAATCGAGTCTTTTCTCTTACCTGAGTTATAAGCAAGAGGACTTGGTTCTTTTCCACACACTGAGCATGGCTGTGTTCATTCAAGAGGCTTCCTGGCAGTGGGTCTTGCAAAGGAGGCTTAAGATTCATGTCTTCTTTAAGAAGTAAAGTGGGGGCCTCCCCTGGTGGCGCAGCGGATGAGTGCTGGGCTGCGAAGCTGCCCACAACCTCTGCAGCGCAGGTTCAGTCCTGGCCAGCCGGGGAGGGCCCCACATGGCGCGACAGACCTCTCCTGCCTCGCCCGCTGCTCCACTCAGCAGTGTATTTCATCAGTGTGCCTGTTCTGTTCCCCACTCTGTCTCTGGTGAATTCTCTCACCCTCCTGCGCTTCTGACTATACCCAGTGCTTTTATAAATAAATAAATAAATCTAAAAAAAAAAAGGAGCAAAGTGGTATCGAGATTGAAATGACTGAACCCGTTTCTCTCATAGAAGAAAGCATTGTGTTACTCACAGGGCTTTTCTGACTGGAGGGGAAAACAACAGCCTGGGAAGGATGCCAGCTTTCAAGGAAATGAGGGATTGGAAGGTGAAACTGTCCTAAGCCTTGAATGAGCCTGGTGAGTCTCCTAGTAGACTGATTGCTTCAGCAATATGAGAAAATGTGTTGCAGCATTAGGTCAAAGGAAGTATGGAAGAAGGAAGAAGAATGAAGTTATTTTTATTTCCTCTGGTTCTCGCTCTTTGCACCTGTTTTGTGCCAAAGGTAGGGTGGAGGCGTGGGGAACCCTGACATGGAGGTGGGAGAAAGCTTTAGGTTCTGGTCATCGCTCATATGACACCTGCGACCAGTCTGACTGGGCACACATCACTTACCTATCTAAATCCCAGTTTTCTCATTCCTCTAGCTCAAAAATCTAAGTGTCCTAAATTGAAGGATTACTAGAAGTGTGAGAACTTGTGAATTAAGCTAGCGGAAGAAGAAATGCTAGTGTCCAGTCTAAGGTTATCATCCCTTTAAAGATCAGCTCTCTGCATCTTTATAGATTAGAAGCTGGAATGAGATTGCAGAGGCTTCATTATGTCAAAGCAACAGGCCAGTTTTGTTATAATAACTTCAAACAATACACCAGAGGCCATCTTGTATTCTACATATTAATCAAACTGCCTTAAATTATTGAAAGCGCACTGCCAAATACATAAAACTGTAGCTGGAGCCATAGAAAAACTGGCCCGGTTAAATTACCATGATGTTTGACGTAATTGGATTTTGTCTGCCATTGTACTTGGAAGAGTGTATGCTTTTTGGTTGTCATACTTTTTATTTTCTATGATTTCTTATCCTCTTGTTTCGATAGCTTTTTCCATCATCTTTTAGCAGTTAACGCTTAAATTTTTTTTTGTATTTCTCTTTTATTTTTTAAGATTTATTTATTTATGCATACAATAACTGGGGTATAGGCCAGAGATGTGGGGGGTGAGAGCATTCACCAGAGACAGAGTGGGGAGCAGAACACGTAGATTGACTGAAATACACTGCTGAGGGGAGAAGTGGGCGAGACCGGAGCGGTTTGCTGCACCGTGTGGGTAGCTCCCTGGCTGGCCGTGCTACAGAGGCTGTGGATAGCTTCATAGCTTCATAGTGTTTAACCCCTTGTGCCACCAGGGAGGTCCTTAAGATCTTAACTATATAAAATATAAGGATTTCTAGTGAAAACAGAATTGTTCTGTGACTTTACCTTTTTCTTTACCTTTCTTTCAAGCAAGAACTGCCTTTATTTTTTAAATTATTTTACATCATTGTTCATTTATAAACAATAGTTGCTTCCCCACCCCAAAGGAGTAGTCCCCATAGAATTTCCTTCACCAATGCACCCATGCACCATCACCTCAGTCCCCTGTGCTCCACCCTCCCTCCCTCCCTCTGATCCCTCTCGCTCCTTCTCCCCTGCAGGATGTCTCTGGTTTATAATTGTCTGTTTTTGTTTTGGTGCGTTTTGTATTGTTACTGTTTTTTTACCCGATGTCTTATTTGGTTCTCCTATATTCCTCCTCAAAGTGAAACCATCCAATATTGCAGCACTATTTATAATAGGTAAAACCTGGAAACAACCCAAATGTCCAAAAATAGATGACTGGATCAAGAAGATGTGGTGTATATACACAATGGAATATTACTCAGCAATCAAAAAAGATAAACTCATGCCATTCGCAGCAACATGGATGGAGCTAGATGGAATTATGCTCAGTGAAATAAGTCAGAAGGAAAAAGAACCACCTTACTTAAACTGCTTACTAAGCACATATCTTGCCCTCATCCTACATCTGCCCCATTATTATCAGCTACTGTTTTTGTTTGTTTTATTTAAAAATGATAGATCAGTTATTTTAAGTATTTTAACATTCATTACATGCATGTAAATTGTGCTTTTTTTCCTCCTTGCATACCACATCCTTTAACATCCCTTACATTGACAGTTTCAATAAACTGTCTTTCTGTGTCCAAAATTGTTTTAATTTTGTTTGTGGTCTTGAATGATGGCTAAACTAGGTACAGAAATCTGGGCCCCTTTTTAGTTTGAAGAACCATCACTTAATGACTTTTGCCCTCTGTTTCTGCTAAGACAGCTGTTATAAGATTGCTATTCATCTGGAGATCATCCATCTCTTTTCTCCTTCTAGTCATTAAGATTTTATCTTTGCTCTAGATATACTTTAGTTTTACAGTGATGTCTAGGTGTGGATTTTTTAGTTTTTATTCTACTTATAAAGGCAAGGTGTGGCTATTTTTACAATTAATAATGTAATCGTTACCACATTTTACCACGATTGTGTATCTTTGAACCAAATTGTGTATCTTTGAACCATGGATGCGAGCATGATGAGGGAGTGTAATACCTTAGGTCATAATAGAATTAAATATCCCCCAATTTTCAGTTGTATGCTAAATGTTGTCAGCAGTTCTGGTCACAAATTACAGAGTGATTTCTAGAGGCAAATGGATTTTGGCGCTGTTTGTACTCTTAGAGCTGTGTGAAATGAAAAGGAAATTGTGTTTAATGACAGTAGAGCTAGCTCAACCATTTCCTGGATTTTTCAATTTTTCTTCATTCTGTTCTTTCTTTTTTAACCCAGTGATATTATTCAGAACATAACTTGCTATTTGGCATTCAGCTGCATTTAAATATCTACTTAAACTAAAACGGTCTGGGTATCCAAGAGTTTATTAAATTTTGTCTTACAGTAGGTTATTATTTTCAATTAGCAGTGTTGGAGGCTTGGAGAGTCTTACTATGCAGATGATACTTTTTATAAGTTTTGTAAGCAGTTTGTTTATATTCTCCCATCTCTCCACTAGAGCCCCAAAGTAGACATCATTAGGTGTCAAGAATCAGTGAGAGAAGCCACAGCCTGAGTATGATGCTGAATGCACAAATTTAAGTTTTCTTCTATACGTTACTACATTCTTGGTGACAGTCAATTTGAGCTCTGCTTTTCTTCTTTAACTGGCTGTTTGTTTAAATTGAAAATTTGATGCTTCTTTTCTCCATCCTCTGGTATATTGCCTAGAACCTAAAAATGCCCTATACATATTTCCAAGTAGCAGAAAACAATGGCAGTTAATGTAGTAATCAATCTCCCAAACTGAAAACAGTAGCTTCCCAACTATGAAAATTCTACACAAAAACACACTTTTTTCATTATTTGGGGACAGAGCATGCCAAAACTACAAAATAACTGTGAGTAAACAGAGAAAAATCAAGTCCTCTTTTCCTTATATTTCTACCTTCTGTCCCACTTTCACTTTGTCACAAGGCTTTTGGACAAGACAACATCCAAAAATACTGCAGAGCAAGGCTAGCAAAGGTGCCTAAGAGTGATTTGAAATGACTACCGGAAAGATTAAATCTAGCCTAAATTTTAAATGCTAGAAAAATATTCAAGCAGATCAAAGCATGCAGTATAGGGGAGAGATATAAAGTATGTGATTTAAAAGCTTAGATGCCATTTAAAAAGACAGATACAATTTAAAGGGACAGGCATGATTGAAAAGGACAGGCACCACCTAATGGGCAGTCTTTCAAAAGTATAGCTTGTGGGAGAGGGAAAAAAAGCAAAAGAAAAGGCATGCTTTTTAATCAATTAGATGAAGAAGAAGAAGAAGAAAAGGGAAATTGAGAGTTCTGGGAGAAAAAGAGAATCAATTAATCAGAGGGCTCATAGCCCCTTTCCCATCACCAACAAAAAACTTACTGACAGAAAAACCCACCAAACTACGTGAACTTTGCTAGACTGACAGAAAAGGGAAACTTTTAAAACAGAATTTTTAAAAAATGCTCCAATATCATAACAGTGAACAAAAAGAAAGTAAGGTCAGTAAAAAAATTTTTGTAGAAAGTTAGGGGGGGAAAAATCACAAACATCAAGTATGGAAAATTCTCCTCTCAGAAGCACCATGAAGCAAAAGAAAACTGTTAAGTGCACACTCCAAAGAGAATTAAGGACTTGCAAACAAACATTTGAAGATATGGAAAACCAGCCTGAATCAGAAATGCAAAAAGGACAAAAACCATGATAAATACAAAAGGAGTGGGTTGAACTCAGAAAAGAAATAGAAGGAAAAGACACAATTATCTCAAAAATGAAAAATAAAGTGCCCAAGTGAAAATAAAAGTCTAGTAAAAATTTAATGAGGCTTGAAGAAAGACAGAAAAATAAACAAGAAAAATGAAAATGACATAAGAAGTTAAAAGGGCCTGAAGGGGAAGCAAATTTTTACCTCTACCTTCTTAGATTTTTTTCATTTTGTCCTGAAGAATAAACTGATGTAAGACAGATTAACAGAAGAGTATATACATTCATGTAACATTTGTGAGTCAAGAGCCCTCATAAAGGAGCTGGAGTCAAAGAAATGGAGGAACGTACATAGTTTCTATGTAGTTTGTACAAAGAAGGGCAATTGTGCAAACCTAAACTATGTGTAGAGACTAAAAGAAGATGATTATTTTAATAAGATTATTTTATTTTATTTTATTTGTATAGAATTGTCTCAGTATCAGTTTCTTGTCCTCAGTGATAAGAATGTAAATCTCCTTCTTTCACAAAGGAATTTTATCTCCTGCTTTTAAGGAAAAGAAGGACCCTCAGAGTGTTTTTACTGCATTTGTAGTTTTTCAAGTGCCTTTAACTCAAAATTATCTTTTTTGTCAAAGTGGCATATTTTGAGGTGGTATGTTCTGCCACCCATATTCAGGTTCAAGAGAAATATTGGCAATGAAGGATAGGGGAAAAAAAAGAGTCATTTTATAAAATTATCAGGTCCCCTGAAAAACATATAGTACAGAACTGATATTAAAATTATAATTCAAAAAAGAAACATTACAGAAATAGAAAAAAAGAACCCTGAATCTATACATTTGTGAAAATTTTCCAGAGTAGAAAAAGACCTAAACCGAAACAACCAACTCTGTTATACTTCTATAACAATAGTGTTAAGGTAGCAGAGATGCAAACCAAGTCACCGCACTCATTGTAACCCACTTCACTACTAAAATGTGTCATACCATATGTGATAAGATAGCATACATGATGTGAAGTTGAGGTGCAATATTTAAATTAATTAATCTCTTTTTTTGGTCTGATCACTGTGTATTTCAAAGTTTTTAAGTTAGTTGGTTGCATGAACTTGCTTTCTGAGGGATGGAAGGGCAAATGGAAAACATTGAAGAAATAATTGTTGGTTATCTTAACCCTAAAGACATTCAGGTCTACACATTAAGGTTCAAAGTTTAACTGGTGATGTTGAGAAGCTAGAATCTTGAGGAAAGCAAAAATCTTGTTTTTAGTTATAGAAAGCTCTTATCTAGTTAAGAAAGGTTAGCAAAAATTATGTTTTCTGAAAAAGCAGTTAAGTAATCCTTTCTTCCAAAAATGCTTAGTTCCTTGATGAGAGAAACAATTCCATTAGGTGCCAGTTTATCTCTTTTGGATCTGATTAGGGCCTAGGGCCATGCAGGGCAAACAAGACTATTGCAAAGCTACTCTTCGGAGTCCTTAAGTAGAATGCATTGGTTTGTGGAGTAAGTGTACTTTTGACATTGACCCAAAGAAAAATTTATTGCTGCTATCATTCTGGTGGTGCCAGTTTTTCAGCCTCTGATTTTTATCATAAAACAAATAACAGTCATAGTCTCATTAATTTGATTGCCATGTGTTTGGAATTATGTTTGAAATTATGCATAATAGTTGGTGA